AAAAAAAAAAAAAAAAAAAAAAAAAAAGGTGGGGGCTAAGGCCGGAGAGAGCCTGCTATTGCTAGCCTCTGGGGTCTACATTTTGTATTTCGCTGACAGCCCAGGGCCGCTCCAAAGCCCGCCGCGCAGCCAATAGGCAGCGGTGATTTATGGAGCTGACTAACGCGCGCTGAATGCGGCCTGTCAGAGCGCTGTGAATAGCTTCCCTTCCCCGCACAAGCCCCGGCTTTGTGTTGCTAAGCGATTAGAGCAGATGTAATGAGATTTTGCCCAATCCTCGCTTTGCCCTTTCCTAGCTTCGGCAAAATTGTGTGTGTTTTTGTGAATTTTTCGAGTTTGCCTTCGCATTGTGGCAAACGACTAACTTTGCCTCGAGTTTAACGAGACTGGCTATTTCCCATTCAGAAGTGAGTAAAAGAACACCTGTCTTCGCCGGAGAAGGAAAAGAAAAATATCTCCTTTTGTGGAGGCTGAAACATTATCCTAATGTTATATTCATAGCCATAAATGACTTGCTACACTTTCTTTGCGTACCTTATCTGTAAACTTGCAAAGGAGCTAAATTAAAGGAAAGAGAAATGGAGAGTGGGGGTGGAGCCCAGCTCTGGTCCTCCAAATGAGAAGATAAAAATAAAAGCAGGCATCACAAAAGCATTACTTCTCTCAAGTAAGCTCTAAATTGGCCCACTGCTGGCAGAAAGTCCGATTATTTATGGCGACGAGGAATTTACTGATTTTTTTTCCTTAATTACGCTCATCTCTTTGAAAGGGACTGAAGCTTCAATGTGCATTCTATAGAGGGTCATTTAGCAAAATGACATCAGACGCTGTGGCGTGCTCCGCGCATCGCGGCTTTAAAAAATGATTATTCTGTGCCACTAAATGGTATAGATGTACCAACACAGACTAGATTTTTAACTCTGGAAGACGTGCTGGCTACCCGTTCTTTGTTGGGTTTTGTAAGATGCATTTTGCGCTCGGCTTTCCGCTTGGCTGGAGACACGCAAACTGAATTTGCAAGTAATGCAGGCGGCGAGCGAGGAGCCGGCGAGAGGCCGAGTAGGATTCTAATCACGTCCTTGCTAACTGACAAGAAGCAAGCCAGCCAAAAACCCACCAATTTCTTTTTGAATCTTGGTAATTGGGTACTTTTACACGCAGCTCACGCTATTAGGATAGAGTCACAAGCTTAGATAGGCCAGTGTCTCAAAGCGACCACACATTTCTAATGCTTTTTTTTTTTTAATTAAAATCTCAATCCTTCTGGAATGAGTTCATATCATATATGTCTTTTACTTAAAATCAATATGGCAAGTATGTGTATTGGAGAAAAGGAGTAGAAAATCTATGCCTGGAAGTGAGGGAAGAGAAAGGTGCTCACCACTGGGAGCTTGTATGTGAAGAGAGTTGCCTCTCCAACCCCCATCCCAGCACCAACATGCTCCCCACCCAGACCTAGTCTCCATTATTTCAGCCAGCCCCACCATACTTTCACAAGGAGAAACTCAGAATGGAATTGAGGATTGGAAAATGGTGGAGGACTCTCTCTTTCTGGTTCACTTTTTGGGGGGATTTTAAATTTTGATCAAAGGATAACGCAGCCATAAATCACTATTCTTTTGGTGGGTGTGTACATTTGCAGCATAGGATAGAAAGAAAACATATATACCTGTATACGTGTGTGCGCGTCCACACACACACACACACACATACACACATTCATCACAAAGTCACCATTTGGATAGACCTGGCTGTAGCACTTATCATTGTCATTTCTGTCACTTAGCATGTTTTGCAACGTTCTCTTCTCCACCCACCTCTCCTTTTTGACATTTTCATAAAACTGGACTGGGGCATCAGAGTCAAAGAAAGCTTAAGAGGCAGCTGGTTATTTTCATTTAAAAAAAAGGAAAAAAGTTTTATTACGAAACTAGTTTGTATAAAACAGGGTTATACATATTTTTGTAAGTTTGTAATAAAACAGTAAGAAAAAAAAGGCAGTAATAGAAATCTCCAAAAGGCAACCTATCAAAACCAACTGGCTGCCAATTTGAGTTTGGACAGTAGCTGCATAAACTTTGTTCTTCTTGAACAGTATTTAATAACATTATTAATACATTAACAACATTTCTATAAAGTAAGACACATTGGTGCTGAAGTACAACTGGTGGCCTCTTGATCTCACCTATGAGCAGAGTTCTTTACAAAACCACATAGGGAAAATGGCAGTTGTAAGGTGAACTACACATCTAAAATATGCAGAGGTAATAGCAATACATGTTAAAGTATCAAGATATACACATTTTAAACCATTTGTACAAAACTTCTATAAATTTTTCTCTCTTTCTCTCTTATGTACAAAAATATCTTAATATATCCCCAAACTGGTTAGGATAGATACAAATAGATTTTTTTATAATAAAAAAATTCACAAAAGATTGGAAGCAATCTATGATGAAAATGGTAGAAAAGACAGTGTGAGGGAAGGCATGGGGTTTGGGAATCCGGCCCTGGAGGAGAAGCAGGGTTTCAAAGGGCTGAGAATAGCATAGTTTCACTGTAAACCAATGTCTACAGCTATTGGGGTGGGGGCTACTGAGACGAAAGACAGCAACTCATTTCTAGAGGGCTAAGAACTGCACTTTGAGAGAGGGCAGGGAGGTGAAGGGACCAGAGCAGGCGCTTTCAGCTGTGCATGTTAGTGGTGGTGGGAGTTACTACAATTCGTGTGCTGCTCCCTTCTGCGAGGAGCCCACTGCTTTTGCACACAAGCTGCGTGTTGCGCGTTGACTCAGGTCCCAGGTGCTCTTCATATCTCCGTGAATGATTGGAGTGCAAAGATACTGTTCTGAGCGCTTCACGTTTTCTGAAAGCCATGTCTCTCAGGCTTGTCTAGCTTAGTTGGCATTGGGGTTGGTTGACTGTTTTTTTTTTTTTTTTTTTTTTTTTTTTTTTTTTTTTTTTTTTTTTTTTTTTTTTTTTTTT